TGGTTCAATAATGTCAGCATACTCTTTTGATGCAAAGCGATTTGGATCTTTCTTCTTGCCAACTAACAAAGATGAGCAAATAAGTTCAGTTTCTCATTATTTCACATGTCAAGTGGTTTTCAGTTTTTAGTGTCAAAATACCAAATCTTAAGCATTACTTCCTTGAATAACAACAACAGCCACAAATAGAACAATAAAACAGACCTTAAAGCAAAGAGCAAGTGCCTCAAAAGAAGGGGGAACTTGAGCAAGCAAAACTGTTGTCATCTGACCCAGTAATGGCACCTTTTAAGAATCTAAACATTCAAATTGAACAAGCTTCTGCCTCCATATTGGGAAATTCTTCACCAAAATAAAATTGAACCAGAAACTGTTGTATAATCTGTCAATTGATACTAATGCAAATTTTTATCCTAAAAAGTACACAAAGTACACTTTCTCATAAAGAATACCTTAAAGGAGTTTATGGGTTTATCATGCTTTTATGGTCCACTAGTTTAAAAGTTTTTTTCCCTCTGGCATTTTTGTCTACAATTTTTGAGAACAAATGTATAGTTCAAAGGGCACCTTTTTACATTTATATTAATTATTTAATACAGTCATAGGGGAGCACCTTGGGTTTGAAAATTTGGTTATCTATTCATCCAAGAGATTTTGGTTCTGACAGAATTGTCTGTCCATACTTTTGTACCCCTTCATGTAAGCTGGGGTGAAATTTGCATGTTTTGGCAGTAAATCACATGGCCACCTGAACTTTTCAAGAGAAAAAACAACAACAAAGCCAAGTCTTTTTTACTATATTTTATTGTCTACAGTGGGGTGGAGAAAAAAAGAAATAGCTAGAGCGAGAGATAAAAAACAAAAGAGACAAATTGCGTTGAAAAAAAAACACGTATATTTTATAGCGGAGTGAGAAAATGAGAAATCTAGAGGCTACCAAGGTGAAAAAGTGTGGTAGTGAAAAAAAAAGCAAACAGGGACACATACAATATTTCCCCTATTAGCAAAGTGTGCTGCATGTGCAAAGTTGTTTTTCACAAATTCTATTGATTTTTTTGCTGTTCTCGTTGCTGTCGCTGTTTAGCATTACACTATTTTATTTTTTGTTTGACTTAACTATAGGTATGTTAAGGAGAGCTTCGCTTTTAGTATTGGCTAATTATATTACATAACCAATAAAAGTTATAACTAATATCACCTGTGGGTTGTGGCTTTGGTTGAACCTTTAATGGTTGTTGAAGTGTTTGCTGTGGAATCTGTTGCTGATACTGAGTTTGTTGTTGCTGCTGTTGTTGTTCTTTCTGCTTCATCCTCTTTTGAAATCGTGGTGGTATTTCCCTTGGGTACTGCTGTTGATCAGTACGCTGTTGTTGTTGTTGCCTTTTCATGTTCTACAGGTAAAGCAATGGGTGCAAATGTCAGTTCTTTCATGTCTTGCTCTTTTTGCAGTTTCATGAAATTAAATTGTAAACAACTACAAAATGACTCACTTCTTTGACTTCCTAGCCACAATATTAATAATAATAATAAATAATAAATACAAGGGTGTAAAGAAANACTGAGTTTGTTGTTGCTGCTGTTGTTGTTCTTTCTGCTTCATCCTCTTTTGAAATCGTGGTGGTATTTCCCTTGGGTACTGCTGTTGATCAGTACGCTGTTGTTGTTGTTGCCTTTTCATGTTCTACAGGTAAAGCAATGGGTGCAAATGTCAGTTCTTTCATGTCTTGCTCTTTTTGCAGTTTCATGAAATTAAATTGTAAACAACTACAAAATGACTCACTTCTTTGACTTCCTAGCCACAATATTAATAATAATAATAAATAATAAATACAAGGGTGTAAAGAAAATCATTTTTACAGCTTGCCATTTGGGAAAGCTGAAGCTAACATTTACTAGCCCAGACATCAGTTCAACTAGCCCCAAAAGCTTTTTGAAGAGCAGAATTGATCTCACAGTTCTTCAGTTATTCGAAGCAGTTATTCCTCGAAAAAGATCACTTGCCCATCAGGCAAGTTAAAACAGAATTCACTAGCCCGATAGCAAAATCTACTAGCCCCGGGCTATTGGACACCACTTTTTTTGTAAGCTGAAATACTCAGTTATCCACTCCCCTTATGGGGCTTTTCAGTGATAATGAAACAATAAATCAAATAGAACATAATATGTTTAAGAACCCCAACTGGTAGGAGAACCAGTT